ATGGGTTAATGTTGGACTTGTGGGCTTGGGCAGCACTGGGTTGGGATGTTTTCTTGATGCGCACTTACCCTTTATATAAAACTCTTATACATATGCGGTTGTGTGGATTTGTTTCTCTAAAGTACCCAGACTAACACCCCTTTTCAACAAAAGGTGACTATACGCATAGACTTTTCCAGATGGAATACACAGAAATCAAATGGACTCATCTGTGGGAAGAGATGCTAAACACAGGTCGGGGGCTGGCTGTGGAACGGACCATCCATTGCTCCTATGTTCAGGTTGAAGTGGAAGAAACTGAAAGCAAGTCTGTAAGAGTCAGGCTACGACTTTGAGCATATCCCACCTGAAGTCTGAGACCATCTCAAGAATGGGTGGATGTAGAAACACGAATGACAGAAGCCTCGATGTGGGATGACATGAAGAACTCTACCTGAAGAAAGCCAAAGACAGCAAGGACCCAGCAGATCAAAGTGGATGTCCGAAGAGACGGAGACGTGTCTTTCGTTGCAGAGGAGCTGAGGCCAATGGAAGTTGTGGTCATGACCAACAGCTGAACAGAAAATGTCATCGGGCAGCTCTAGAAGACAAAGTAAAAGCATAATGAAACGTGCAAAGACCTAACGCTAGAAAACCAAAAAGGACGAACATGCTCAGCATATCTTAAGTGGAAAGAACTCAAAAAAATATCAAGCCTTGCGTTAGAATACCGAAAGATTCTATGGGCAAAATACAGGATGGTGCAAGAGGCATTCAGAGAAGATGGAAAGAATACACAGTCACTGTGCCAAAAAGAACTAGTTGATATGTAAACATTTGGAGAGGTAGCATATGAGCAAGACTAATGGTGCTGAGGGGAGGAAGAAGTCCAAGCTGCACCGGAAGCACTGACTGGAAATGAGGCTCCAGGAATCGATGGAAGACTAATTGAAATGTTTCCACAGCTGATGAAGGCCTGGAAGGACATCTATGCAGGATAGTGGAAGACAGCTACTTGGCCAACTGACGGGAAGAGAGCTGTGTTTGTGCTCATCCCACATACAGGTGACCCAACAGAACACTCACATGATAGAGTAATGTCATTGATATCACATGCAGATAACATTCTCTGGAAGTTCATCTAACAATGGTTGCCGCCGTACACTGACAGGGAGCTGCCAGAGGTTCAGGCCGGATTCAGGAGAGGACGTGGAACAAAGGATCTCATTGCTGATGTCAGATGGATCTTGGCTGAAAGCAGAGACTCTCAGAAAGACATTTACGTATGTATGTTTCATTGACTGCCAGGCCTTCAACGATGTGGATCTTAACAAATTATGGGTAACTTTAAGAAGAGTGAGAATTCCAGAGCATCGTGCTCATGCACAAACCTGTACACGGATCAAGAGGCAGTTGTGCAAGCAGAACAAGGGAATCCTGCATGGTTTAAAATCAGGAAAGGTGTGCGTCAGCGTGGTCTCATCTCACCATACTGATTCTGTCTCATCAGTTGGTTTGTGGCTCAAATAATCCGAGAAGCCGGGTTATCTGGAGAAGAATGTAGTATTCGGATGGGAGGAAGGCTTCTTTGACCCGTCCTGCAGGTCATCAAACAACGTGGATACCTGAAAAAGGGACTGGGAATGAAGAGGGGCAAGAGACGCGAGAAATGGAGGCAAGACAGGAGTCTGATCAAGCCTCGTTTATTGAGCAGAAGGCAGAGGCCTAAATACCCAATGGTGGGCGGGTAACATTACATCATATGCAAATAAGGTGTAACTGGTCATATCCAATAATCTCACAGATACCAAATATGGAAGAAATGGCAGGCGTCAGTCCTCAAACAGGTCCACATGCTAATGAGGTGCACTTGACGCCTGGCGTAAGTGCCACCAGGCATGTGTTGTCCAATGAGTATGGTGGCTGCCTGTCACTGAGCACCAATCATTACAAAGGTCAAGTAATTCATAAACTTGCCCCACAACAAGCCAGGAAATATCTTGGAACGGGAAGTTCAAAGAGCAGATGGCGTTGGTTATGGTCTGAGGGACATGCTGACTCCCACACTTCTTAACAACTTAGGGAGGACATAACCTTGCTTGCTGGAAGTAAAGCTTTGAAGGACTTGCTGATGAAGATCCAGGATTGCAGCCTTCCCTCTGGATTCTGACTCAATATAAGAGCAACTTAAAGAAAACCAAAGTCCTCCCAACAGGACCAATCGGTGACATCATGATAAATCGATGGAAACTGTCCAGGGTCTACAATCAATGCTCACGAAAGCAGTACTCCAGAGATCAAAAGAAATGTGCTGCCCAAGACTTCTTTCAAGTGCTAAAGCAAGGGTGTTAGCTGCAGGGCTAAGGTGTGCCTGACCCAGGTCATGGTATTTTCAGTAGCTTGCTATGCATTGAATAAGGAAGACTGAAGGAAAACCGATACTTTTCTTTGCAACTAGGATTTTGGCAAAGAGTGTTTGAAAGTACCCTTGGGCGCCAAAAACCGAACAGCTGTGTCTTAGGTGGTTTGACTTGGCACGGTTAGGTGATGGGCGGCTCGCTGCTGCCCTCTCCTGCCCTCTCCATGCCTGGTAAAGTGGAGTTATATCCTCTGCCACAGCGGCTGTGATGATGGGTAACAAGGTGAAGAACACCTGGGAGGACGGTGCAGGACCTGGCTGTGTTTCGTTGTTGTACCCGGGGTCGCCATGGGTGGGA